TCCTCCTCCTCCTCCTCCTCCTCTTCCTCCTCCGCCTCCTCCTCCTCCTCCTCCTCCTCCTCCTCCCTCCCCGTCCTTCCTCCTCCTCCTGGGCAGACTTGGCGGGTGGCCGGGGACCCGCCTCCCAGCCAAGGGTCTTGCCACTGGAGCGGGATCTGCGGGCGCCTCGAAGCGGTCGCCAGCGCTATTGGCGGAGCGTAGGGATCGGCTCCGTCCGTCGGCCCCGCCTTCAGGTAGCTCGGGGCGCCTCCTGCTCCCCATCCCCCTCCTCCTCCTCCCCCTCCTCCTCCTCCTCCTTCCCCTCCTCCCCCCTCCTCCTCCTCCCTCCTCCTCCTCCTCCTCCTCCTCCCCTTCCCTCCTCTCCTCCTCCTCCTCCTCCTCCTCCTCATCTCTTCCTCCCCCTCCTCCTCCTCATCCTCTTCCTCTGCCTCCTCGTCCTCCTCCTCCTCCTCTTCCGCCGCCGCCGCCTCCTCCTCCTCCTCCTCCTCCTCCTCCTCCTCCTCATCATCATCAGCAGCAGCAGCAGCAGCATCATCATCTCCCCTCCTCCTCTTCCTCCTCCTCCTCCTCCTCCCCCTTCTCCTCCTCTCTTGCAGGAAGAGAAGGCAAAGGTCAGAGGAGGACACGGAGGAGCGGCGCCGGGAAGGTGGAGGCAGAATGAGGGAGTTGGAACATGGGGGGGCGTGGTAATAGGGGGTCCACTTGCTTCCTCGCCTGCTGCTGTTTCTCCCTTCTCACTCGAGGTGTTCTCCAACCTCGTCCCATTCCTTGGCATATCTGTCATCTACCGCTTCCACGTCTTCTTCGCGTATTGCTGGGTGGCGAACGCGATCATGGGCACGCAGGCGACTGCCGAGGAGGGGGGATGGGGGACGGGGAGGAGGAATACGAGTGGGATGATGAGGATTGTAACTATGACCATGGGGCGGGAGATGAGGAAATGGAGGAGGAGAAGGAGGAGGAGGAGGGTGAAGGAGGTGGGTAAGGTAAGGAAGATGATGAGCATGGGCAAGAGGAGGATGAGGATGGTTCCAGGGTTCCAGGGTGACGGCAACGGGCTCCGACGGACGGGACGGGAAGCCCAAATAAAAGATATGTGTGGCCAAGGCCAGCTATGTTGACCTCGGTTTGTGGAGAGGGAGGGGACGATGGCGCCCGTTCCCACAACACCTGCCCGTTGGGCCCCCCCTCACATACAACAGGTACCTACGCTTGTATAGTACCTAGGGTATCCTGGAGAGGGCCTCCCAATACACTGCTTGGCTATAGCATGCACGTGGGGTTCGCATCTTGCAGCACACAGGGACACCCACGAGTGTGCTTATTCCTATCGCATAAATCGCAACACCACCTCCCTCCCTCCTCCCAAAGCAGTGCCCACGAAGATCAGGTCTTTGCCTAAGCCTACGGGGAGCCTCCGGAACAGGGATGGGGTCAGATTCGCTTACTTTGGAACGCCTGAGAATTCGTCGAGATGTGCCGCATTATACGAAGGGGCTTAGGAAGAGGGCTTCTGGGATGCATTCCGATTCCGAGACGGGCGTATTGATCAGTTTTCCTGTTCCTTTCCAGCCAGGCACGAGGCACGCGTGCGACCATTCGCTGGTTGTCACCCGTATGGCCGTATGGCTGGGCATCCATTGCATGTCGGTGTTCTTACTGCCGATCTCAGCCGCATACCTCCAGAATTCTAGACGCTTCGCGTATCCCCACCAGCCCGTCCAGAAATGAGCCCCAGGGGAGTGGAGGTGATGAGGGAAGCGGGGGAGCATGCAGAAGAACAAAGGGCGCGGTAAGCCGCCATATACCCCAAGACGGGGAGGATGTAGGAGGAGTCGTCGCAGTTCTCCCAGAAGGTTCTCGGTGCCGGCGCCCCCCGGGGCACCGTTCTCCCAAGCCTTTGACAGTTCGATCGACAATCGGTTGCAATCGTGATGCTTCCTGGACCCTTGAACTTCCAGGCCTGGATGGCAGCTTAGAGCTGCTAGTCCGCGGCAGATCTTCACGAGTGCGGCCTGTCAGCCATGGTCAGGACCGCCTGCTCAGTGCAGGCCGCTCGCGACGGCGGCATGGAGAAGGAGGCGGCGGTCCTATTCGGCCCCCGCAAGCTTGTGTGGGCGTGCTCATGCGGGCGGGCGGCCAACTGGGCCAGCAGAGTGCAGTGTGTATGTGGGAAGGCGGCGCCACAGCGAGTTGCCCAGGCAGCACGCATTGCGCACGCCGCAGCAGTCAAAGACAAAGGAGACGGGCGTGGCAGCAAGAGCAAGGGCAAGGGCAAGGGAAGTGATGCCTCTGCAGTTGCGCAGCTGTCCGCCAAGGTTGACAAGCTCATGGCAGCGATCGAGAAGGACTCGTTGTGGCCGAAGCTTGGTGGAAGTACGAGCGGAGGAGGGCCGCGCCAGTGGCCTGCGTCCGCCCCTTCCCGCACAGTTTCGGAGGAGCGCGGTCCCGATGCCATGGAGACGGACGGTGAAGGACAGTCGGCAGAGCGTGAGCAGAGTTCCAGAGCCTTCACGCAGATGGCCTACATAATTGACAAGCTGCACAAGAGCTTGGCCACACTCGGTGACGACCCATCGTTGGCTGAGCTGCGCAAGACAATGCAGCAGAACCTGGACGAGGCGAAGAATGCACGCAAGGCCATGCTACCGCCGCAAACGGTACACAGGCGCGCGCAGCAGGCCTTGGAGAAGGCAAAGAACCAGCACCGCAAGATGCAGGAGGAGCTGGATGAGAAGCAGCGCCAGCTCGAGGCGATGCAGGCTTCCCTGGCAGCGAGGCGCGAGGCTCTCGAGGCGAAGAGGCTGAAGGTGGAGGCACTCAATGATGAGTTCAAGAGGAGTGCTGAAGCGCCGGCGCCGCCGCGGTCTGCGGCGTGCCCAGCCGACGTTGGAGTCGAGCTTGAGTTTGAGGAAGATCAGCTCGAACCTGAGGTGCGAGAGTTCATCTAGTCAGATACTTGGGCCAAGCTACGGGAGCATACTCAGAAGGCGTTTGCCAAACCTCCTGCTGCTAATGGGCCTGCTCCTGCTGCTGGTGATGGTGGCGACGATGCAGGGATGCATGCTGACGAGGAACCTGGACTCAAACTGTCGGAGAGTCAGAAGCGAGCACTTTTCCAGCAAGCAGAAGGCAACGTTGAAGCGTTCCTGCAGGCGTTCTCCAGCTTTGAGGAGCAGCAGCGGAAGAAGCAGCGGCAGGGGTAGCATGATGACGGATGATTGCCTTGCCGACGTGGATGCTTACATTGACGGCGAGGATCTCATGTTATATGGGGGGACAGACCCGAAGCGCCCATGCGGGTGGTGCCCATAGTCCTGACAGCGTCGGAGCGGCGCGCCCCCCCCAGGAACAGTGCGGCGACGACGGCTGGATTTGAGTGGCAGAACGGTTGCCTTGTCGAGGTGGGGATTTGCACTGACGGCGAGGATTTCATGCCATCTGGGGGGGGGGGGGGGGCAGACCCGAAGCGCCCATGCGGGTGGTGCCCAGTGTCCTGAAAGCGCCGGAGCGTCGCGCCCCCCCTCCAAGAGCAGTTCGGCGACATTTTCTGGAGCAGTGATGTGCGATGATTGCCTTGCCGACGATGATGGTGGCACCGACGGCGAGGTTTGCGCGCCGAGTGGTGGCGGTGGTGGTGTGGGGCGGGGCGGGGTGGGGGCGGGGCGTGTGGGGGGGGGGGGGGGGGGGGCAGGCCCGAAGCGCCCATGCGGGTGGCGCCCAGTGCCCTGAAAGCGTCGGAGCGTCGCGCCCCCCCCCAGGAGCAGCACGGCCAGGACAGGTGGTGTTGCGATCAGAGTGTGTGGTCTGGCTGAGAGAGGACATGCACGGCCTGTGGGAGCAGGTGGTACTGCTCAAGAAGTGGCGCGCACGATAGAGACCTTCAATGCGAGTGGAGGCAAGCACACACTCAAGAGTATATTGCAAGTTACTCCAGCTGACATCCTTTTGGCCCAGGAGATCGGGCATCTAGCCGATCAGCTTGAGGCGCTGACCTCATGGGCACACGGACGAGGATGGCGTATGATGGCTCTGGCAAGCTGCCCTACTGCAGGAGTGCTCCCAGGAGCAGGCGTAGCAGTATTTGTTCGTGACGGACATGGGCTGCGACCACCTGCTGTTGGTAAGATACAAGTATGGGAACATCGGATCCAGCATGTGGTTGTGGATCTAGCGAGTTGGCCAGTTGAGTTGCACAGATTCAATGTGTACTTGTTCACAGGTGTAGGGGTTGCGGGGGGGGGGGGGGGGGGGGAATGCACAGTTGCTTGCTGCAAGAGTTGGTACGATTGCGAGTAGCCTGGGCAGGCCAGCTACCATTGCAGGTGACTGGAATCTCCCACCAGGAGAGTTGGATGCATCAAATTTCCCTACCCTGAGTGGCACGATTACACGATCATCAAAGGCAGTCACGTGCCGTGGTGGTGCTGGCAACACAGCGATTGACTAGTTTGCGCTGAACACGGCGGCGAATCGGGGCGTCTCTGATGTGCGCGCAGACATGTTGTGGGCTAAGAGACCTCATCGGCCTGTAGTACTATATCTCAAAGGAACGGCGGCGAGCATGCGGACGTTGGTTTCTTCTGCAGTACATGCCTTTGGAAAAACGGAGATTGTGGGGCCTCAGCCAGCGCCGCCATGCTGGCGCATTGCTCAGACAGTGACTGGTGCTGCAAGACGTGCCTGCTGTGATGAGAATGTTGGAGCGATAACAGGGTGGTGCCTTCTATCGAGAGCGTGGGCGCTATTCGCGTCACTTGCTGCAGGACAGATTGGTGGCGCGGCTGGCAGTTCCACGCTGAACTGCGGCGCTTTCGGCAAGCCATTGCAGGCGAGATGGGTGGCGTTGGGGTGCGCGATGAAGGGCCCTGCCGATGCCAAAGTGTTAGCAGATGGTTGGAGATGGCTCACACATGCTATAAACCATATTGCTCATATGCAACGTGCAGCGACCAATGACACCAGCATGAGTTTGAGAGTTGCTGAAGAGGTGGCGGCGATGTCTACGCCCGAGTACCCGGGACAAGGTCTAGATGCCAGGCTGGACCAGGCCGTCCATGAAGCGAGGAGTTTTCTGGATGTGGCTATCGACCCCGAGATATGCGACAGTTTTGCGCAGCACATTGCCGAAGACTTTGAGCTAGCAGGGCGAGGGGGATCGCGACATGCTGCCCAAGAGTGGAAGGGTTGGCGTGATACTGCGACGGCAGGCGGAGCTCGAATATTGCACAACACGACCAAGTACAAGTCGGAGTACGTTGCGACAGTGGTGTGTGCTGAGAGAGCATTGCCATCACACCCACACGACTTGCTGGCGCATGAGGTAGAAGTCTATCGACGGTTATGGCAGAGTGCACGGGGGCCCGCGGAAGCTTGGATTCCTGACAGGACATTTGTCACCTATGACGGTAGAACAGGCGCGTGCGGTTGCGCGGCCCGTTCCAGAGACGACGTCGGCCTCAGTTGATGGAATGCGCCCTCGCCACTTTGCTATGTTGGGCGATGATGCGTTGGAAATAATGTCTCAGTTGTTCACACGTGCTGGAGCGATTGGCCTTCCCCCACGACAGCTCACGCGGGCGCTGGCCCCTATGATTCCGAAAAGGAAGTCAGAAGGGCATCGCCTGATAGTATTGTATGCAGGATTCTATCGTGCGTGGCAGAGAGCTAGGCGTGGAGTACTGGATCAGATGCAAGTGGCACTGGACAGACCTTACTGGGGAGCAGGGCGTGGACGCAGCGCGCTCGACTGCGCATGGGTCCAGGCTGCGGAGGCTGAAGCAGACTCTGCCACCGCGCGGCACGGTGTCGCCATCATCGCCGACTACAGCAAGTACTATGAGAA